ACAGGGCGGACTCGGAAATAGTTGCTCGAGCGCGAAGCAACGACTGACACTGCCGCCAATCTGGTCCCAGTCCAGAGAGGACTATGGAGACAAACATGTCATCAGGGACGGTTCCGCCGCACTTCTTGAATTGATCGCGCAAATTGCGGCACCAGTTGATATATGGTCCCGCTTTCTCCCCTTGATTCATTTTAACCGATGTCAGTTGGCTGAGCAGGCGACTCATAGTAAATGATATGTTGCCATGAATGAATTGCGCAGGTGCTCCCAAGACACTTGCGCGGGAGCCCACTCCGTTTTGAAGGAACGGATGCCAAGCTGCTCGACGGGGAAGAGATTTCGAAGAAGAGTAGTGTATGAGAGGAGGGACTCGTGGTAGTACTGGTTCTTCTCCTGGAGAGTTCCTTCTGTTGGAAAAGGTAAGCTCCCGTCGTAGTACATCCATATTCGCGCGGTTGTTGCGAGGAGTTCAAACTCGAAGCTTCACGTGTAGAATTCCTTTCCGTCGAACAGGGTTGAGATCTTCAGCTTTGATGTAAGAACAAATTTTGTTTGCATGGTTGCAATTGCATCTGTTTATGCGCGTTGTTGACTATCGTGCGCAGGTTCTGAAGCTTGACGGTTGTCAAACGTGAAGGATCTCTCATAGTTGACGCGACGGTTTTCTCCTGGAAGAGGTAGTCCAGCAACTCCTCTGGTGTAGAATGAGCCATCGATACTCATTGCTTGATGGCTCTCAAGAGCGTTGATGCGGGCAACGAGTTGTTCACCGATGGCGGCGCTGACGGAGGTCACCGCTGATGGCGCATTAGTCGTTGCTGGTGGTCGGCCCTGAGAGTCTGCTGTAGCCTTTCCTTCAGGAGCCATAGTGATGCAGACTTGTAACAGGTATTTTAATGGATTAGTTTATAAAATGTTTGTTCTAGGAAGAACAAGAACTTGACAGATCTTATAATCCACTCTAGCTCTCATACCATGTTGATATAACCGGGAATCGTAGTGGATATGATAAGACTTGCTAAGTTGTGGGAAGACAATGACGTCTTGTAATGACCTTGTTAAGAATAGTTGAAAGAGAACAATATGATTTTAAGATAGGAGTGCACAGGTATAAATAGCAATCCTAGCTAGCCATGTACTCTGAGGGGTACATTCCCTTATTTAACTGTATTGCATTGCTACAGTGACCGCGACTATTGCTCTACTCGATAGTTACCAAGTTGTATCGTGTAACCTCCGAGTACGGTTACTGGGCGGTCAACAGTCGCGACCGTTGACTTCCTGCGACTGTGGACCTTCGAGTGGCTTTCAGGCTGCCGCGTGCTCTATATGAGCTTAACGCGATACTGGTACAGGGGCGCTGCCTCGTTATGAGGCGATGCGCTAAGGGAAGCCTTCGGGAATGTTATAATAACCGTTGGTTATTCCAACACAAGCAACCCGATCAGATCCGACCTGACAAGATCAGAGCCGATCAGAGGTGGTCTGGGCCACGTCCTAGGGTGTTTTCTTTAGCTTTCAAAACAGCCTCCTTGTTTGTGGTAATGAACCACTTTGAACAGTGCATATTAAGATAATTCGACTGCCATACAGTGGTGTCGACTCTGTACACTCCTTGAATACAGTAACCCATTTGTACGGTTTTGGCCGCAGTGCAGTTGATCCGTCTTCTTGGCCGTCCAGGGTCCCTCCCGAAGGACCTGCCCTGCCCGAGTCGGTTTGTTATATTGCATATTCCCAGCCCAAGTTCCCCGACATCCATTTTGTACCGTTTCGGCCGTTTCCCCTCCAAGTTCTACACCGTCTCGTGTAATGAAGGGTTGTTGAGGGCTTTGAAGAATATTTTAGAATTGGAGAATCTGTAAACCAAACATCCAACGTAGCTGCAATATTTTTTGATACAGTTCAGCAGAAAATCCCGTCTGTTTATAATTCCCGCACACATAGGGAAATTATTTCAAGCTCGAGTGTGAGAAAAACGAGTTGCGAACTTGATTGGATGACCATCAGCTCGGGGTGCTTGAAGGAGCCCTCCCGACGTGTTCAGACTTGTATCCAATGTTTTACGAAATTAGCGCTAGGTAGAAGCATCCGCAAGCCAGCCCCTAGAATCGTTCAATTGCAGGGATATTAGGTGTAAGGTCTTGAGAAACACACTAGAGATGCTTCCCAATACTGTACTCCAGGAACTCCACCGAAAGCACTTGGCAGGTGTGGGTGAGACGAAACCCGACCCCAGGACCAACCAACTTAATGTCCTGTACTTTGTTCATGTTCCGCACTTAGCGTCAGCTCCGCGACGTTTTTACTCTGCCCACGACTTACTCAACCGACAGTAATTTTCACTGTTCATCAACACCACACACCACCCGTCACACCTACCTCTGAATGGCGAACAGTACAGTCCATCAAACATTTGAGCCCGTTAGGGCGGAATTTGGGTGTCGGGTCGGATGCTATGGTTCGTAATAACCGATCATTCCGAGTCAAGCGTCCAGAAGTGTACCATCAGGGAAACTGAAGGCAAGGATAAATTGTGTTTTATTTTTCCGATCACCCATTAATCTCGTATGGAAGTCCATAAAGCGTGGTTGTGTGACCTGGTTTGTACCAGCAAGCTTCAGTGGCATATGCTAAAATGATACTTGCGTATCTGAACACAAAAGTGTACAGTATCTGAGTTCGTTCACAAAATTTGTGGGCTATCACAGAACCAAAGGTGCCCGTAAATTTCCAGCATAGCACTCCGTCAGCATATTTCTTTCGGACCTCTGATGCTGGAGTAGTACGGAGTTCCAAGGAAGTCACCAGCAGCAGCAACTTTTCCTCGTTTCCAAAACCACCACCACATTTGCCATCGCCTGGGTGACTTGAGGGAACTTCTTTTTCTCCCGCAACGGAACACCTGCCGTGCTGACGCACAACAAAAACTACCGCCTGCGCTGCGATGGCCAGAGCTGTTGTGAGGAGGCGCGAAGCAGGGCGAGCGGAGAACTCCCTTTCCGTGACCCGCCCTTTCCTTACTGGGCAGGTCTGGGAGATAGGGAATGGATGTTGGTGGTGGTAGGGAAAACGGCGGGGCAGGGAATGGCATCAATTTGCGCGAGGCTGGGCAGGCAAGCCTGAGTGGGTGTCGGGGGAAGTGAAGGGGGAAAAGGGCACACCCCCCCAACCCCTCCTCCCGCGCATCCTCTCACTCCCACACTCCCACTCCCTCCTAGTTTGTTAGCACAGTGCTGATGCGCTTAGTTTCCATTCCACACAGCTGGCGGTGAATGGCTTCAGTGGTTGTTATCGTACTGTTTCAAACGAGGTTCAAAGCTTATTCTATGTGCACATAGTAGCTTCTCCCTCGTGCGTTAGAGCTGTTGTACATCTACTTACGGCAGTCTTACACTAGGAACAGGGAATAAATTAATGTCGTGTTAGCGTCAACCGTAGTTATTTTAGAGGTTAGGTTCCAGCTCGGCCAGGATGGCGCAGTCGGCGCGCCAAGAACGAATAGACTTACTGCGTCCGTCGCTCGTTAACATATTTCCCTTGTCGTCTTGGCCTTCCAATACTTGCTGCACGTGTTTCTAGTGCTGAAAACACAGCCGTTCACTCTCTCCGCTTTATCAGATAGTCTGGTTTTCAGTAACTGCTACCACACGGACAGCTTAAGATCACCCTGGCAAAACTGGCTCGTTGCAATTCCCGTCTTTCTTTAGAAGGCGTGTTTAAGGCCGAAGCTAAAGAGACCAGTGGTTCTCTCAGACCGTTCTAGGAGGCGCTTTAACGCTCACACTATGCGACGATTATGCACACCTGCCGTCACAATGGGGAGGCTTAGAGCAGGCGCGAGGGTGCGAGGCCTGGTTCTATCATTGCTGATCATAGCCGTTCTCTTCTTCTGTCAAACCATTTTCGCTCGAGGCATTCCAACCACTAGCCATTTCGGTAGGTGCCCTCTCTTCTCGGTTTTTTCTACGCTTAGGGTTTCCCTTCGACTTGCCCTTCGCACCTCGTTTATTCTCCACCTTTAGGGTTTCCTCCTTTGTCTTGCTGTCCTGCGCGCATGCCTCCCATCCAAGGGCCTCTTCGTCCTATCCCGCCCTTTCCGGCTTGTGGATTGCTTCTTGTCCAATCAGCTCTGCCAATGACACATCCATGAAGCTCCATTGCACGGCTAGAATCGAAGTTTTGTTATAAAGCTGTAGACATGTCCTTTTCTCTGCTTGGAGAGCGTAGTTTGTTCTGCGTAACTCCTTTCGCATCGAGAACTTTGATCTTCTAATAGCTTAGTTGTTTGTCAGAACCTTCCTTTAGGCCTCCCCCCTGCTACAGCGTGTGTCGATCCTTATCTTAACTCCAGTGCGTGCTTGCTCGGATTCTAAAAAAAAAAAAAAACCAGCTTTCCGCACGCGGTCCAGAGCTGTTCGGAGAGGTCCAGAACTGTTTAGAGCCGTCTAGAGCAGTCAAGAGCTGTGGAGCTATCAGCAGCTGTTCAACCCGTCCATAGCCATTTAGGGCCGTCCAACCGTCGACCCTCCTGTCTCCTCCTTCGTCCCCTTCCTCCCCGTTCTGTCGTGTCGACCCAAGAAGGGTCAACAGTCGTTCTTTTAGGATGTCGTTTCCCTCCTCGTGTCTCTCGCTCACCACTCCGTCGTCCCTTAACACGCACAAGCGTGTAACCCACTTATAGAAACTCGTCGTTTAGTGCCTCCGGTTGCGTTGACATCTCCTTCCGCCTTTCGTCTCCTCCCGTCGTTAATCTCCTCCCGCCTTTCGTCTCCTCCTGTCGTTAATCTCCTCCCGCCTTCCGTCTCCTCCCGTCGTTAATCTCCTCCCGCCTTTCGTCTCCTCCTGTCGTTAATCTCCTCCCGCCTTTCACCTCCTCCCGTCGTCATTATCCTCCCGCCTTTCGTCTCCTTTCGTCGTTAATCTCCTCCCGCCTTTCGGCTCCACCCGTCATTAACCTGCCATCTTCCGGTTGCTCCCCTATTTTCCTCTATCCACAGGACACGCGTCTCGGCAAGCATCGCGGGTTCCGTGCTACGGAGAAGGTTAGTGGGAGACGAGGGGCGGGGGAAATGGGGAACGGGGGGAAGCGGGGAGCAAGGGATAGCAATTCTGAGGGTACAGGAACGCTGGAACGGAGTCGGGCAGGAGGGGGACAGTGCGTACCGTTTCCACCTTGGTTCCACCGTCAAACCATCCGCTTTCCTTCACACGCTTCTCTCTCCTCTTCACTATCTTTCTCACCTCCCTTTCGACTCACCGTCCCCGGTTTCCGCGCGCCTCCTTCCCCGCCTTCTCCTGGGACCTAGCAGGATGTCTACCGGTGCGGCGGCAGCTAAGTCTGGCGGATCTTTTCAAGCGGTGGTTCGGCGGCTGGCGCAAGCCCGGCAAGCAGAACAAGAAACCGCCGCCTATTCGCATTCTCCCAGGTGCGCCACTCCGCCCCCTCGCGGAAATGCACAACCGTCATTTGTTTTCTGCTCCCGCACGCTCATCCTCCCGCGCGCGCGCGCGCGCGCCTCCCCTCGTGCGCCGATGACCTCGTCTCATGTGCGCGCCGAACTCTGACCGTTCCTCCCCCTCCCCCTCCCCCTCCCGCTCCCACTCCCCTTCCCCTCTCCCCCCCCTGCAGGCAACAAGACTCTCGGGCTGAACTCGCTGCGGCGCATGACGCTCAACTCGCGCGCGCAGTTCAACCCCGTGTCGCGCTACCTCACGACCAACCTAGACTTCGACCCCACCACCGGCGCGCCCGTGTGGGACGTAGTAGGCTCCTTCGGCGTCGCGTCGCAGTACGCGGATCCGCCGGACCAGGGTCTCTGCAGCACGTGCTGGGCGTTCGCCGTGGCGGGCGCCGTGGAAGGCGCGTACTACGCGTTCACGAACGCGCTGCCGGCGCGCACGACGCTGTCGGTGCAGCAGCTGCTGGACTGCACGGCCGGCAGCTGCTGGGGCGGGTATCCCGAGGACGCGCTGCAGTACATCGCGCAGAGCCGCCTGGGCACGGCGGCGGAGTACTCGTATAGCGCCACGGAGGGCACGTGCCTTGCTAGCTCCATCGTGGTGCGTGCGTCCCTGTTTGCGTCCCTGTGTGTGCGCGGTCCCCGCGGGGCGGGCGTGCGGGCATGCGGGCGTGCGGGCGTGCGGGCATGCGGGCGGGTGGGGCTTGGGAGCTGCGTCGTTTGATCCGACGCGCTTATGCGGGGGATGCGGGGGTGCGCTGAGCCTCTTGGGCTCTGGGCCTCTAGGGATCGGCGGCGGTGCTTGCGGCGTGTGGTTGTCCTGGGCGATCTGTGCGGGTGGGCGTTTCCCTGCTGCACCTGCGCCCACTGCTCCCCCGTTTCCCCTCTCCGCGCAAACTCCTCCCTGCGTCCCTGTTTCCCGATTCCACTCTCATGCCCGCCCCTCCGGTTCCCCATCCCCTCTTCCCCGCTCCCCTTTCCCCCGCCCCCCCCCACCGCGCCCACCCCCCGCGCCCCCCTCCGTGCAGCGCGGCGAGACGGTGCGCATCACGCTGTACGAGCAGGTGCCGCTGCCAGGCGCGCTGGGGCTCATGCTTGTGGTGCAGACGCAGCCCGTGATTGTCACCATCCGGGCATCGCACCCTACCTTCGTTGATTATGAGGTGCGTGTGCGGAGACGGGCTTGCTTTGAACCCTGGAGGGGTTCGTGCTTCGTGCTCTCTCTCTCTCCCTCTCCTCTCCCTCTTTCTCTCTCTCTCACAAATTTCCACTGACGTTTCCGAACCACCTCCCCTCTCCTCCCTCCCCTCCCCCCTCTCTCTCCCCCTTCCCCCCCACAGGGCGGGGTATACCGCGATGACGAGTGCTTTGACCCGGACAACCCCGAGCTAGACCACGTGGTGCTGGTCGTGGGGTATCACTACAGCGGCCCCTCCGCGCCCGATAACTACTTCCTCATCCGCAACAGCTGGGGCGTGGCGTGGGGCGAGGGCGGGTACATGCGCATCGGCATGAGCTTCAAATACGGCGGCATGTGCGGCATGACGTACCAGCTCGGCCTGTATCCCGTCATTGAGCGTGAGTGCTTGCGTGGGCGTGGGGGCAGGGGGGACGCGGACGGCGGGGAAGGGGGTTGGGAAGGTGGGGCGGAGGGAGGCTGTTGTGGAAGAATGGTGGCTGGCAGGATTGTGAAGTTGTTTCTGCTTTTGGCGTGGCGTGGGTTGGTCCTCCCATGTCCTTCGCGTGCGCGCTCTTGAGCCTTCCTCGTCCCACTCCCCCTTTCCCAATCTCGTCTCTTCCCCTCTCTTCCCGTGCCCCGTCCCTACCGCCTCTCCCAATTCGCCCTGCAGCAACGTCCCGTGCCAGCTCGTGCATCGCCAGCTGCGGCGGAGGCACGTGCGAGATGCTGGCAGACAAGAACAGCAGCACGGGCAGCACGGGCAGCACGGGCACTACTGGGAGCACGGGCAGCACTGGGAGCACAGGCACGGCTGGTACTGCTGCAGCAACGACGTTCTCTGTAGCCAGTACGGCAGCAGACGAGGGACTGGAAGAGAACGACTACCAGGGGCTCGCCTCCGTTGCTCCTTATTCCTCCTACTCGGCGGCGTCGCGGCCTCGCTCCGCGCGGCAGGTGACCGCGCGGAACAACGTGGAGTTTGCGCGCGCGCGGCTGCGCCAGTGGATGAGCAAGGCGGGCAGCGGGGCCAGGCCGGGGGGAGGCGGGCGCGGAGACGCAGGGAGAGTCTCGACCTTAGCGGCAGCTGGTGGGAAAGGTGTAGGAGCAGGAGGAGGAGGGCTAGGCAACGGCAACGGCAACGGCAATGGCAACGGTGGCTCTGCGTCGAATAATGGGAAGGGGTCGTCGACGACCGTCGGAGCGGGGCTTCTGGGTTCCAAGTCGAATGGGTTGGGACCGGTTGTGGCGATTGGGAATGGGAATGGCGGGAGCACCGATGTGACGACGACGGGGAGCGCCACTGGAAGCACGAGCACGGTGTCGGGCCCTGTGGTTGGGAGCACGCTGGCGACGAGCACGACTGGCAGCACGGGCAGCACTGGCAGCACGGGCACGACCAGTAGCAGCACTGACACCAGCGGCAGCACTAGCGCCAGTAGCACCAGCGGGGGCACTAGCGCCAGCGGCGCTACTAGCACCGGCGGCGGCACTAGCACCAGCGGCAGCAGCAGCACTGGAGCGGTAAGTACGGATAGCACAGGGAGCAGCAGCACTGGTGGAAGCACAGGCGGCACAGGCAGCACAGTCAGCACAGGCGGCACAGGCGGCACAGGCAGCACGGTGAGCAAAGGAAGCAGTGACGCCCCTGGTAACACACGCAGTGATGGGAGCACGGGCACGGTGGGCAGCAGCGGCAGTGTGGCGACTGGCACTAGCAGCACGGGAAGCACGAGCAGTACCGCGGGTGGGACTGACAGTGCAGGTAGCACCGGCAGCAGTGGCAGCACTGGTAACACTCAGAGCACCGGCAGCGGTGGCAGCACAGCGACTTTGGTGAGCGATGGTGGCAGTGGCAGTGGTGGCAGCACCGCCAGTGGTGGCAGCAGTGGGAGTGTTGGAAGCACAGCGGCTACAGGAAGCACTGGCAACACCGGCAGCAGTGGCAGCACTAGCACTTTGGGCAGTAGCAGCGGTGGTGATTCGAGCAGTACTGGCAGTACTGGCAGCACTGGCAGCACTGGCAGCACTGGCAGCACTGGTAGTAGCGACAGTACTGGCAGCAGTGGCAGCAGCAGTGGCACAGGTTCGATTGGAGGAGTCAGTCTTACTGGCAGGGGAAATACAGATAATCTGGGCGGCACCGGCAGCACTGTTTCCGGTAGTGGCAGCACCACCGACAGCAGTGGCAGCACAGGAGGCGGAAAGAGCTCAGATAGTAAGGGTAACACTGTCAGCGGTGGCAGCACTGTTTCCGGTGGCAACACTGTTTCCGGTGGCAGTGGCAGCACCACTGACAGCAGTGGCAGCACTACCAGCAGCAGTGACAGCACGAGCAGCACAGGAGGCGGAAAGAGCTCGGATAGTAAGGGCAGCACGGTCAACGGTGGCAGCACTGTTTCTGGTGGGAGCACTGTTAGCACCGGCAGCACCAGCAACACTGTTTCAGGCGGCAGCGCCACTGATAGCAGCGGCAGCACCACCGACAGCAGTGGCAGCACAGGGAGCGGAAAGAGTTCAGATAGTAAGGTTAGCACTGACACAAGTGGCAGCATTGGTGGCACTGTCACCACCGGCAGCACTGTCAACACTGGCAGCACTGTCAACACTGGCAGCACTGTCAACACTGGCAGCACTGTCAACACTGGCAGCACTGTCAACACTGGCGGCACTGGGAATGTGGACAAGGTAGCTGGTGCTGGCGGCACGGGCAACTCTGATAGTTCTGGAAACACTGTAACCACGGGAGGCAGCACGGGCAGCACGGGCAGCACAGTAGGTGATATGTTTCTTGCTTGGAACACGGGCAACAGTGAAACCACCGGCTTTGGTGCCAGTGACAGCACGGCTAGCGGAAGCAGCACTAGCAGTGGCAGCAGTGGCAGCAGTGGCAGCAGTGGCAGCAGTGGCAGCAGCGGCAGCAGTGGCAGCACTGGGAGCTTTGTAGGACCGAAGGGTGCTGGGAGTATACCGGGGAGTGCAGGCGGTGAGAATTCTGACAGCACTGGAAACACTAACACCCAAGGGAATACAAACAGTCAGGGGGATACTGGTTCTCAGGGCAACACAAATACCCAAGGGAATACAAACAGTCAGGGGAATACAAACAGTCAGGGGAATACCGGGGGTCAGGGCAACACAAACACCCAAGGGAATACAAACAGTCAGGGGAATACTGGTTCTCAGGGCAACACAAACACGCAAGGGAATACAAACGGCCAGGGGAATACAGAGTCTCAGGGCAACACAAACAGCCAAGGCAACTCAGGGAATCCAGGCAGCACCGCAAGCAACGGGAAAACCGGAAGCAACGGCAACACAGGGAGCAACGGCGGCAGTGGCAGCAGCGGAGGGGGGGGGTCCACTTCCCTGGTTGGGGGGACCAGCACGGGGGGGCCCGGGGGCTCAACAGGCTCTGTCCGAAAGCCGCCGCCCCGAGCCAGAGCACCACCTCCGCCGCGTGGTGGCTCTGGTTCTGGCGTGGCTCCGTACTTTGAGAAGATTGACCCGTGCAAGCCGCCAGAGCCGCTGCCCACGTATGGCGGGTACCAGTGCGTGTGCGCCAATGGGCTCACTGTCGTGAACAACAAGGATGGCAGCCAGGCGTGTGTGCTCGGTGCGTACTTGGGTGGGGTGCGGTGGAGTGGGGTGGGGTGGGGTGGGGGATAGATTCTGGTTGATTCTGGTGGTGGGCTGTGCAGGCTGTGCGTTCTTGTGTGTGCACGCACGCGCATGTTCTGGTGTTAGAAAAAGGGAAAGGATGTGGGTGGGCGCAGGCGCTCGTGCATATGTCTGCTGCTTTGGATCTGTCTATCCATCCCTCTTTGCCTCCCGCTCACCCCTCCATCCTCCCTGCTCCCCCCTCCATTCCCCCTCTCTCCCCTCCCATCCCTCCCCATCCCTCTCCCTTCCTGCGCGCATCAGAGGACGTGTGTGGCGTGTTCAAGATGAATCCGTGTGGGCGGGGCACGTGCATGAACGTGGGCGATGGCACGTACACCTGTGTGTGCCCCACGGACTTTCTCACCAGCCAGTACAGCTCTGGCGCCACCACATGCGTCCCCAGTAAGTTCCCCCCTGCGCTTCTCTCCCTCTGTGCTTCTCTCCCTCTGTGCTTCTCTCCCCCTGCGCTTCTCTCCCTCTGTTCTTCTCTCCCTCTGCGCTTCTCTCCCTCTGCGCTTCTCTCCCTCTGCGCTTCTCTCCCTCTGTGCTTCTCTCCCTCTGCGCTTCTCTCCCTCTGTGCTTCTCTCCCTCTGTTCTTCTCTCCCTCTGTTCTTCTCTCCCTCTGTTCTTCTCTCCCTCTGCGCTTCTCTCCCTCTGCGCTTCTCTCCCTCTGTGCTTCTCTCCCGTGCGCCTTGTTGTTGTTGTTGGTTGTTGCGTCCCACCCACCAGCGCAGCTCGTTTCTTCTCCACGCTGCTCTCCACCTACCGCCTGTTTCCGCTGGCTCACATTACCTACGCCGCACTCACTCTTCTGTTCCTCACAGCACCTACGCCGCACTCACTCTTCTGTTCCTCACAGCACCGTGCCCTCTATCCCCGGCCAGCCCGCCCTCCATCACCCTTCCCCTCAACCTCTCTCCCCCACCCCCGTCCCCTTCCCTTCTCCCTCCCCCTTTTCCGTCTCCCCTTCCCCCCCCCCCACCGTTCCTGCGGTGTCCGTTGCCCCTGTGGTGGTGGCTGGTGGTGCATGCATGGCATTGATATTGGCAGGGTCGACGGGTCCCGCGACGACGTACGTGACGCAGGCGGGCGATTCGTGCTACGCCATCTACTCCATGTTTGGCCTCACACACTCTGACTTCCTCGACCAGAACGAGGTGCGGCGCCTGGCAGCTCAGCAGAGAGAGAGGGCGTGCAACGGAATGTGGCGAGTGAGGGTGGAAGGAAGGGGGTGGCTGGATGGGCGGTGGATGGATGGGGAGGGATGGGGATGCGTGGGTGAGGGGGAGGAGGTGAAGGGACATGGGGGAACACGGAAGAAAGAATCAAGGGAGCAGTTTTTGCACCATGGTTGGTTGAACCAACCAAATTGGTTCTTTGGTTGTCATCAGCTGCTGTTTCCATTCCCACATGCAATTGTCAGTTGAGAAACTCCCCCCCTCTCCCGCTCCCTCCCTCCCTCCCTCCCTCTCCCTATTTCCATCACTGCCCTTCCCCCCCGGCCCCAAACCTTGTTCACGTTCCCCGCCTCTCTCGCCCCTCTGCCGTGCTGCCTCTTGCTGCACTTGTCATGTCAACTCACCTCTGCATTCCCTGCCGCTTCGTCCTACCTAACCCTACCCTGTCCCACCCCTCCTGTGCGCCCTCTCGTTCATGCACCGGTGGCCCGACAGGGAGTGGACTGTACCAACCTGCAGCCAGGCATTCTCCTCAACGTCTCTGCTCCTAACCCCGCCCTCGTCTGCGTCACACATTACCCCATCTCCGCGGTAATTTCCCCCCCCCCCGCCTCCCCCCCTCCCCCCCATCCCCCAACCCCCCTTGTCCTCGCTCTGTTTTGTTAAGCTTCTTCCATCCCTCTGTCCCTTTCCGCTTGCACTTACTCCTCGCCTGTCTGCCATTCCCCGCCTTCTTGTTCCCGCCTTTGCCAACAGTCATCCTCATACCACATCTCTCCCCTCCAATCCCCAACCGCCCCACTGCCCCCCCCACTTCTCCCCCCTCCCCCGCTCTTCCCCCCCTTCCACTCTCCTCTTTCCCTTTCCTTCCCTTCCTTCTCTTCTTCACCTTCTTTGCCTCTCCCCCCCCGCCCCTCCCCCTCTCCGCTCTGCCAACCCCGCACATGCGCACCACCACAGGCGGACAGTCTAGCAACGGACTGCACAGCACTGGAGGCCAAGTTCGGAGTAAACATCACGGATCTCAACCCGGGCCTCAACTGTGCTCAGCTCATTCCTGGACAGCAGGTGCGCACGCCCCCGCCCATGCGTGCCTGTGCGCCCTTGCACTTGCACAGCCATGTGCACTGGCCGAGCTGCAGTTTACAGGACAACCTTCAGCATGAGAAGCATGCAGATTGACAGTCGAGTTTAAACGCGTGCCTCGTCAGGAAAAGAAGCCGGGAACTCCCAACTCCTGTTCCATGAATGACAAGAACGAGTCCCGTAAACACACTCCACCTCCCCACGCCTTCCCCACATCCCTCCGTCCCTGTCCCACCCTCCCCTCGCCTCCCTCTCACTCCCCCCTCCCCGTCCGTTCACCCAGGTGTGTGTGGAGCGGGCAGCAGCGAGCCCGGACGGAGCGAGCAACTACCAGCTGTGCACGGAGTACCATGGCATTGCAGGGGGCGACACGTGTGGCAGCATCATCGCTGCTGCGTCCATCTCCTGGCTCACGCTCTACCGCCTCAACCCTGGGCTCCTCTGCGATAACCTCAACCCGCTCATGCAGCAAGAGGTGCGTGCTGGGTGTGTGGGGGGAGGGGGGGGAAGTACGTGCTGGGTCGGGGTTTGGACTGGAGGAGGGAGAGGAGGGGTTTCGGTGGGGTGTTACCTGTGCTGGAAGGAAGGACAGAAGGAAGGGCTTTGGTTGGTGGTTGTTGGGCGTGTGTGTTGTGCTTCCATGCATTTTTTTTCTCTCTCTCTCTCTCCAGATTTCCTGTCTCCCCTCCCCCACCCTCCCCCCTTCTTCATTCACACAACACCATCTGTTCGTTTTGCTCTTGTCTCACCACCGTACACACTCTCTCGCCCCCCAGCTCCGTCCCCCAACGCTTTCCATTCTGATTGCACCAAGCACTAGCCCCTGCACCTCCTCCATCAGGCCTTGCCAATCTTCAGCCCTGTCCCTGTGCATCCTTTCCCAAGCTTCTCAGCATCCCTGTGTCGTGTCGGCAAACCTTGTGGTGCTTCTCCAAGGCCAGTGTGCCTGTGCATGCCACGGATTGACTAAATCTCCCATTCTTTCTCTTGATTCTCATTTGATCTCTCTCTCTCTCCCCTTTCCTGCTCCTTCCCCCTTCTCTCCCCATCCTCCCTCTCCCTCACTTTTCCGATTTCCCCCTTCCCGTTTTTTCCCTGCCCTCCTCTCCCCACCGTGACTCCCTTTCCTGCAGGTGTGTGTGGCGGGGGTGCCTCTCGGTGCGGTGGCATGCGGTTCAGTGCGGTCGCGCGCGATCCGCAACACCAAGTACACGGTGCAACTGGGTGACACATGCGGGTCGCTCATTCTCAACAACTTCAAGCGCAACGCCACACTCGTGCCCACTCTCAACCGCGGCTGGATCTGCCGTCCCAACAACCTGTTCCGCGGCATGCCTCTCTGTGTTCCCATCTGAGGGCACCTCGCTCCTCCCTCCTCTCCAATTCCCTCCTCTCCCAACCCCCCTCATCCTCCCCCCCCACCCACACCCACCCAAACCAACCCACCTACGCCTCCGTTCTGTTGCCCTCCGCTCCTCCAGCCCTCTTTTGTCTCTTCCTGCTGCTTCGCCGTTGGTGGTGTAGTTCTTTCCCTCCCGTTGTCACATTAGACACCTACTGCCGCATGCGGCTCCACAAATGGGCCGGCTGTGTATGGACTGACACTCCGCCCGTCATTGCTGGATACATTTTACACTGCCCAGCTCACACGCTAAGTGTTGAGTTGAAAGCAACTAAAGACTTGGAGGGAGGACGGGAATGGGAAGGCCTTTTGACTGCAGTTGCGTTTGCTGTTGAAGTCATAGACATTCTGGTTTGCCTGTCTTTTCTTGCAGGGCTGCTTGCAAACAACTGTTTGTATTTATATGTGTGAAGCTAAGAATGCTTTATGCTTTAGCATTAGGTGGAGGCAGTACATGTAAGCGCTATGTATAAGGTCCCTAGTGTAGCCTTTGTAAGCGAGATATATTAACTATTTTTTAGAGTCGCAGTGCTTCCGCTGGATGTTTCGCCAGTTCAATGTGTGCACGACTGGTTACCAGCAGACCCTCAAGCATCGCGAAATTGCCAGCAACAATCCTGCAAATCCCACTCGAACTTAGTAGATCTAAGTACCTCGTCACGCAAACGCTTCAGTCTGCAGCACACGCTCAGCGAAAAAGAGCAGTACACGTGCCGGACGAGCGTGCTTGATAACGACTCACACTCGGTCAATTTCTCCTTCACGTGCTCGCCATCCGTTGTCCTTTCAGCCTGTTGCCTGTAGAATTCCTATCAGCCTAAACGAATCTCGTTCGTCCGATATTTTTCGCGCGATCGCGTATCGCACGCGGACAATACGATAGTCTGATTGGGCGTGAGCTGTGATAAGCTGCGCTTACGATTGGAGCTAAAGCCATGGCGTCAAGTAGCTTTACCGTTGGCGCCGTGCGGCACGACTCTAGTAGGGCCATCGTCACCCCGTGCCGTGATTCGCGGAGCGTTAAGGACGCGTTCGTCATTTGTCTCTCGAATAAGTCCGAAGCCGTCCACCTCCTCTCCTCCCCGCGCTCGCCGCTCGTTAAATGCTTGCGCCGATCGCCCTCGATGCTCGAATCTAATATTAGATCTGCGCGCCCGAACCGCGTCTCCTGGCGGACTTTCGTCGGCTTGAGATCACGGGAGCCGGGGGAAGGGGAAGGACAGGGGGGAGGGGAAGCGGAAAAAATAATTGCCGCCACAGGGCATCACCGCAGCATCTTGAACAAGCGGGCGCGCGGAAGATCCCGCCAGCTGGGTGCAGGCGCAACCGAAGGCGCAGGAAGTTCCGCTCACCGGGGTAGGTTCCGCGCAAGAGGGGGGATGCAAGACGACGCATGGCAAGCAGGGGGGTGGGGAGAAGAGAACAGCCGTAGCAGCGGAGGCAGCAGTGGAGGCGGGGCTTTTGGCGGCCTCCGCGACCCCGTGCAGGCGCTAAGCGGCGCGCGCCCATCGTCCGCGGAGTCGGACTCTCTCCCCGCGGACTTGCGCGACCGGGCGCTCTCCGCGGTAGAGGCGCTCGTGGCGGAACCTGGGCGGGCGGCTGGTGGAAATCAAGGCGGCGGAAGCGGAAGGGAGAGGTACGGCCGGGTGACTGTGGGTGACGTGGCGGCGCGCAGCGGCTTGAAAGTAGGCGACACGGAAAAGGCGCTAAAGGCTTTTGCGGCGGACGGGGAAGGATTTCTAGAGGTGAGTGAAGGGGGACCCGCCGGGCTTTAAGGGTTGGCGGGCCTTTAGGGGCGGATTGAAGGGACGAAATCATTTGGAGGACTAAGCTCGTCGCTCTTATCATTTATGATACCCCGTTCCCTCGTCCACCCCCCACCTCGCTCTCACCAAAACGCTCCTCTCCGCCGTCCCCGGCCCCACCTCGTCCGCCGATACCCCCGCCCGGCGCCCCCCCAGGTATCGGACGAGGGCGACGTGCTGTACGTGCTGCCGCGCAACCTGCGCGCGCTCATCGCGCAGCGCTCCCTGCGCATGCGCCTCGCGCCCATGGCGGCGCAGGCCAAGGTGAGGCGCGGGGTGGGTGAGGCGCGGTGTGAGTGCGCTGATGCTCGGTTGGGTCGGGGTGTGTGCGTGCGTGTGGGTGCATAGCAGGGAGCAAACGGTTCTTTCTAGCGTTGTATTGAGCTGTGGCCCGTGACATGTTCTGCACCAGCGACTTGCATAGCTCGTCGGGGGTCTATGGGGTGAATGAGATGGTAGGAGCGGGATGAGTGACAACAGCTGCTGTGAGAGAGGGTCCATCCCCATCCATCCATCCATCCATCCATCCATCCATCCATCCATCCATCCATCCATCCATCCATCCATCCATCCATCCATCCATCCATCCATCCATCCATCCATCCATCCATGCAATGCACTCTCACTCATCTTCCACTTCCCACAACGTCTCATGCGTCCTCGCTTGCTCCCACGCGCGCACCTCCCTGCTGACTACTTTCCATCCCTTCACACGTGTCCGTCCTGTTGTGTCGACCTGAACCTACCGTTTCATCCTCTCAACTCATCCCTATGTGGCTTCTTGCATGCTTGAATGCCTGCGTGCGTGCGTGCGTGTGCATCTGTGCATGTGTGTGAGTGAGAGCAGGCAGCAGCGGGGTATGTGATGCGAGTGTCGTTTGGCACGGCCCTGGTGGCATCAGTGGTGGTCGTCTACACATCCATCTTCGTCCTCATGACCTCCGCCCAGGCGTACGTGCCACATGATGCCACATGCCACATGCCACATGCCACATGCCACAAGCCTCATGGCACATGACACATGACACTTGACTCATGCCACATGCAGCAATTCAGTGTTAGCCATGTACCTTGGAGCTGTGCTGTGGCGTCTTTCTTTTCACCTCCTCCCTTTCCTCCCCATCTCCTCCCTCTCCTCCCCATCTCCTCCCTCTCCTCCCCATCTCCTCCCTCTCCCCCTCATCTCCTCTCTCTCTTCTGTTCTCTACCTGGGTCCGCTGTTCTCGCCTTTGCTGTCTCTCATGCTCTTCCTTTTCCCCCATCTGTTTCCTCATCTCGTTTCCCTCACCGGTCCACGATGGGCACAGGGACAGCGACGAGAGGAGGGGGAGGTGGAGAGTCCACTACCACCGCTACCGAGGCCCAACGTTTTTCTTCAACATTGCTGATCTGCTCTGGTGGGACGCCGTGCCGATTCGTGACATGCATATGCAATGTGTATGTGCTGCCATGCCGTCTATGCGCGCTGCCATGCCATGCATATGTGCTGCCATGCCATGCATATGTGCTGCCATGCCATGCATATGTGCTGCCCCTTCCCCTCTTTCCCAACCCCTCTCCCCCTCCCCCTCCCTCCCCCCCTTGTACCAGGTACTGGGATCCGGGGTACCACCGCCGCGTGCGCAGCGAGCTGCAGCAGCGGGAGATGAGCTTCCTTGAGTCTGTGCGTGTGTCCTGGTGATGGGGGCGGGGGGGGGGGGTGGGGGGAGAGGGGGGGGGTTGCAAAAGAAGAAGGGGGGTAAGGGGGGAAAGGGGAGGAAAGGGAGAGGGGAAGGGAGGGGGATGGCTGGTGTGGCGGAAGTGGTGGGTGGGTGGGAGGGTAATGAGGGGCGTCACATGGTAATGGGAGTAGGAGCTTGAGTGGTAAGGCACATGCATGCTCTGACTTTCTGTCGTTCTCCCTCTCACACTCACTCACTCACTCAGTCTTTCACTCTCTCACCCACACTCTCACTTACGCCCTCACTCTCTCACCCGCACTCTCACTTACGCCCTCACTCTCTCACACTAACTCGTTCTCTCACACCTCCAATCACGCTTCTCATTTCTGTATGTCTTGTTTTGTTGTTATTTCTAGGAGCTTAGCGAGTATCGATCTCTGCTGTTGTCTGCCCTTCTTCCACCACGCAACCCCCCCCAAACGCACATAGTTGTTGCCCTGACTGCACCCAAACCGTCTCACTGCTGTCTTTCCACCTCTCATCTCATACCCCACACTATCGCCTCTCTACTCTACTGCTGCTGTCACCTCTGTGCTGCTGTCTGCCTTCTCTCTGCTGTGCGCTGGCAGGTGTTCTCCTTCGTATTCGGTGATGGAGACCCCAATGATGGCAGGGAGCAGCACAGATGGACTCTGGTGCGTGCCTTGCTCCTCCCACACCCCCAATGCCCTCTCTGATTTCCCCATTCCCCATGCCCCAAATGCCTCATGCCCCACGCCCGAATGCCCCATGCCCCACGCCCCACGCCCCATGCGCCATGCCCGACGCCACAGTCCATGAGTTGCCATGCCATGCCATGCCATGCCATGCCGCTCGCCATAAGTCCTGCAGTAGGTACATACAGACCGCAGTAGGTACATGCAGACCACCTGTCTCTTTCTGCCTGCTGCCTCTCTACCTCCTCAAGCTGCCTGTGCCTTCTCTCCCTTCCCACCCCACCCTCACACCCGCCTCCCTCCCTCCCTGTCTCCCGCCCTACTGTCCGTGTCTTCCCTTACCCTGCTTGCCTTTCCATGTCTGCCCCACCTGTCACCCGTGTGGCGCATGTGGGCGGGTGTGGAGGGCAGATAGGAGAGGTGATCAGCAGCAGAGGCGGGGTGGTGGCAGCACAGGAGATCGCACCGTACCTTGATCTGCCAGAGGACTTGGTATGCTCATGCTCTCATGCTCATGGATTGCTCGAGTCTATTTTTCGGGCGCCTTAAGAATGTACTCCTACTAGAGGATCTCATGAATGACCTGGTATGCTCATGCTCTCATGCTCATGGATTGCCAAACCTGGGCTGTGTGAAAACCGCAAGAGCTCGCACATAAGTAGACCTATCCTTTTAAGGGGATAATCAATGCATGGGGATTTAGGATGACATGATGGGGCGTTCCGCGTGCCGGCGGCGGCTGGGTGCCGTGCGTGCCACATCATCACACACGCGATGCGCCCGTCACCTCCTTGCCTGCGTTCCTTCGTTCCACCTCTCAGCTCATGTGTTCTGTCATTCGTGTCCTCCCCATCCTCCTCCTTCCAATCTCCATCCCATTGAGCCATGCACACCCCTCCTTTCAACCCGCTCTCGCCTCACCATCCCGCCTACCCTACACCCCTGTCACAGTCAAACGAGGCCTACATGCTGCCGGTGCTACAGCGATTCCAAGGCACTCCTTCTGTGGACGATCAGGTGGGTCCTGCTGTGCTGCCATGCCACTCCCTCCTCTCCACCTGCCTTCGTTTAAATGCCTTCGACTGGCTTCAACCACTTTCAACCGCATTCAGCCGCGTTCAACTGTCTTTATTTGCTATAAAAATCTTCCAAGGCCCTGCAGTGCACATGGCAATCTCAGTGTGCTCTATCATGTGGTTATGTGCCCTGAGAATCCGTCCTCCTTTTCTTTCCTGCCTCTCTCTGCGTACCACTCTGTATACTACGTATTTCACTTCCAACCCTCCTTCTCCTCCCCCACACCTCCCTATACCCCTCTCCTCGCCCGGCCGCCCTGTCCTTATCTCCCCTCCCATCAGGGACACATATTGTATGCATTCCCTATGCTCCAGCGCACAGCAGAACAGCATGCCACCCGCACTCCCTCATACTCCAACTCTCGTGCGCCTGCTCCTATCTTCGTTGAAAACACCTGGTCCTTCAGGTAAGTGTTGTTGATCCTTCAGGTGAGCTCTGTTGTTCCTTCAGGTGGGCTCCGTTGGTCGGTCGGGTGAGCTTTTAGCTCGTCAGGTGGCCTTTGTTGGTGTGTCACCAGTTGCACTCTCCCCTGTAGGTCAAGCAACGGTCTCTTAGCTTAGTGTGTGCGATCCTATGAGGTGAATGGTTCCTCATGTAATCTTTCCACACGTCAACCCAAGGCAAGTAAAAGTAATAATGTTATGATGCAATCGGGGCCTCCAGTTACCCATTCATGCCCGTGTACGCGCTCTCACACTCTCCCTTTTTTCTCAACCCCAGTGACGCTCCCCCCACCAAGCGAGCGTTGGCAGTGGGGCTGGGAATCGTCAACGTGGTCGGCGTGCTAATACTCTCCACCATGCTCAGGTGAATGCTCTGGCGCTTGTCTCTTTGCTCAGCTGAATGCTCAAGTGCTCGGGTGATTTCTCAGGTGCTTGTCTCCGTGCCTTAATGAACAAGGTCGGTCTAGGATGATGGGCACATGAAGGTCTGTAGCGGCATGTGCACTGGGCTGGAACTTGGTTGGGAAACAGGAGACGTTGAGGTCAGCTGCATCGGGTGGAGGTACCAAAGGCATTGGTAGGGGACTGGGCAAAATAGGAAAGGTATGAGGGTTGTTTCTGTTCTGTTATGCAAGTTCTCCTGTGTTATTAAATTCCCTCTTTCCTCCATCCCTGTTCTGTACCTTCCCCTGCCTCGCCTTGTGCATCCATTGACCCTGCCCTTTTGCCATTCCTGATCTCAATTCCGCTCCACTCCTGCTCCCCTTCCTGCCGCCAACCACTCTTCCAGGAACCCAGCCATTATTCGGAAGGCAGGGCTTCCCTTAGTCTCCACGATACAACGCCTCATACCTGCACTCCAGGTGATGACTGCAATACTCCACCCTGCCTCAACCCTTGGGAGTATTGCTTTGAGTCTTTCCCGTTGCGTTGTTCCCCTGCCCCCCGTTCAACTCAATCAACCTGGTCTCCCTAAAACCACCTACTCTCTCTTCGTCATTCCCCCATCGTTTTCCCTTTCCTTCTCCCCCGCCTCTCCCCGCCCTCACCTGTCATTGCCAGGCCTATTCGGTGGCATTCTTTGTCATTCCCTTGTGCCGCTGGGCGTTCCTCAGCTCCACCAACTCGGCTATTGAGACTCGCAACCAGAGGAGAAGAGAGAGCGCACACATCCTCTCCCATCCCTCGCCGCACATCCGAAAGAAGGTTAGTTACAAAGCCGCCTCCATACCACCAGAGTCCGTTCTGGAACCTGTCTCAAAGTTTTTTTGGGGTATTTGCGTGCGTGAAATGGTAATTCATGGTTGCTTGTTCCAGCTTGATTGATCTTGCACGTACGAGGTTCCCCTCTAGGTATTTTGCTGATTACATGTCCAGCACTTCGGCTACGTTCATTCTCCCTACTTAACATTTGCATCACGCCCTTACCACTTTACAGCTGGCTAGTGCACGGCAGAAGGCAGAACGAACTGTTTTGGGAGAGGAGCGAGTGATATACTCTACACAAAAAGGTGTGGCGGAACAGGAGTTGGAGGAGAGAGAGTGGGATGCTCGGCTGGACAAGAGGCAACAATTGTAATTATGAAGGATGGTCGTCGTAGGAGTAACGCATCAAAAGATGAATTTTCACCTTTGGTACGGCACACTCCTGATATTTTTCCCTGAGGAGCATGCTGCAAGTGAAAATCGATGCCCCCCAAAATACTTGTTTTCTTTCCCCTAATCTGTTTTTTTTTTCAATATGAAATTAGTTCAACCGAAAATGGTTAATTCCTTATCAGTATATCAGTTCCCCGATACATCAGATTCAAGTGTACTTCGTGTTCCGCAACTTGCGTCGCTGGACAATGTTGCAACGAATTCACGATGCCATGAGCGGCTTGAAATTGCCATAAAGTCAACCGATGTTGGCATTCGCCATCACTCGACCAAGTGCCATTTCTCTCAGACTACTGCAAAGATGACGAAGACACGGGAAGACGGAAGCCGAAGAAACAGCAGGACCACGGAAATTAGGTGCAAATGCTGCCAGTCTGAGAGCAGCATCGCTTCAATAGGCTCTGTTGCCAGCCTGGAGACACCCACAGCAAGCCTTTTGTGCAACATATCTTCTTCATGGAGCTCCGAAACACATTCAGGGGAAGCAAGTAGCTCATGCAGCATTGCAGGTTCAAGAAGAAGAAAATTCTCGCTTCTCAGCCCTTCCATCGACCATGAGGTTTCCTCGACCCTCAAGCAGCAACGTACTGGCATGGAGACAATGAAGAAGTTTGACCGGCCAATGCAAGCAATCCCACAGGTTTCAATTGTCAATTTCTGATGCTGACTTCACGTTGCAATTGTTGGCATTGCTCACACTGAAGAACATTCGCAGGTCGGATCCGTACCGTCGAGCACTCTTTTTTACCCTCTTCCGAAGGTAGATGAAGCAGAAGAATAAGCGAATTACATGGCTATGGCTTCCAGTCGTGCTCGACGAGCTTTCACTGGCTATGGCATTATTTCATTATGTTCTGAGTGGACAACAAAAGGCCAAGTTAACTGGAGCCGGTTCCTTCTTGTCCATGAATTGGAGATTTATTACACTTCGGCAATATTCACAAGCATGGTGCGGGTCTTCTTCTGAAGTCGCTTTGAATCCTTCTCACGGCCTTCTACTATGTGGAAACATCGTTAGCCATTACTTGAAGAATGGACCAAAGTTCTAGATTTAACCGCATACAGGAAGTTCGCCAGGGAAACTATTCCGTCAAGCTCCATGATTACCGTCCAACAGTCTAAGAAGCTAACAGAGACATTAGTTGTTGGAGGAAATTCTCCATGCCCGCAAAGGCTACGCATGCTAAAGGTGTTCTCATCCAACATTGTAGGCACCTGAGCTTGATTGCCATACTCATATGCCGAATTATTACATTCCCCCATAAAATATGACGTTGAATGCGTGAGGATTGCAATGGAGCTGGGATTGCACAATGCAAAGTACAATGTGGGGAAGTCTTGAGTGAACATCAAATAGCGAAATATAAGGCAAACTCGTTCAAATTGAGTTGCTGAAGATGTTTGGGAAGAACTAATGCGCTGCAGGTTATCATCCAAGGAGTGTGGTTCGGATTGCGACTACTCACATGGTAAGAGATGGGCTTAGCCAAGGTTGGGATGACAAGAGGTGTGAGACACCGGATGGACAATATAGTAGGCGGTTTGCAAGGTGATGCAAACTAAGAATAGCCGAATCTCTTACACGTGTGCAATTTAATTTGACAACATATACTCAAATGATTAAGAACAGATCAAACTTGATTACCATTTAGAGCTATACATTTGGTAACATGTTACTATGCGCGCGATTGCGATGGGCGATAAATACTTCGTCGAACCCTCTTATCCATCCCCTCGCCACGTCGCAGGAGTGAGCTGGATCGAGCCACGTTGCCACACGCAAACCCTGGGTTGCTTGCTTGAGGTAGCTACTTTCCATCCGAGGAAGAACCGGACACAAAACCTGGCGACGAAAGAGGAACCAACAAACGACCTCGTAAATGCAACTCATAATGTTCCATTTCTGGAACATCCAGGGGTCCTCACCAAGTGAACCAGAAAATGAACTCGTCGATGACACGATTCCAGTCTGGTTGGAGTTCACCATCTTCACTGTCCCCATTTCCGCCAATCTCCAGTTGCCCCCACAACCCCATCGCACCTAGCCTCACCTCACCTCAACCCACCCCACCTTTATCCAGCGCAAACATGTCCTCTTCCCCGCTTCAATTCCCGTTATCCACTTCCCCCAACCAACTGACCCATCTGTGTTGTTCCGCGGGCCTGTCCACCCTCCCCTGCCTTCCCACCTTCCCCCCACCATCTTCCCCTTCGTTTTCCTTTCTCTCCCTGCCACCTCAGGGCTCGCTTCCCAAACCTCTCGTTTCACCCTCGAACCCTACTTTGCTGTCTCATCCCCTCGGCTCCCGTCGTCCCATCATGGCGGCCTCTCTCGCGTCCTCCTTCGCGTCCTCCGTCAGGCTTGCGCCTGCCTCCTCCTTCCTCTCGGGGGAGCGCATTCAGCAGTCGTCAGCTGTTTCCGGCTCGACTCCCGCAGCCGTTAGCGCCAGCCCCGTCGTCCGCGTCGTGGCCGTGCGTAAAATCCAAGGGACCGTCGTGTCGACCGCTAACGACAAGACGGCCGCGGTCGAGGTGAAGCGCATTTACCCGCATAAGCTGTACAAGAAGCGGATCGCCTCCGTGAAGCGGTACCAGGCGCACGACCCGGAGAACCAGTGCCGCGTGGGTGACTTCGTGACTCTTGCCAAGTGCGCGCCGGTTTCCAAGTCGAAGAAGTTCATCATCATGGACATCCGGACGCCTCGCCTTGCAGGGCAACCGTCGTCGGACCTTCCGCCTCTTCAGTCGGAGGCCGCCGCCCAGGCGTAAACGTGAGGTAGGAGGAGAGGAGGGTTAGAGGAGTGTTTTGGCTAGGTTGTTCACTGCCGCGCGGAAAGCGACAGTTTGAATATCTCTGCGCGAAGGCGTCGCTATTTAGCAGTTGACTTCCGAGCAGGGTTTAGGCCTACACAGGTAGTGTGACGAGGTGGGTGAGCGAGTGACTTGTACTGCATTCATTCAGAGCTTAAAGAAGCGGACTACAGCTTGGCTAGGCAGCGATGGGTGTTTCAGATGAGAAGAGTAGCTGGTCACTGCGGTGTTCTATTCGTTGACAAATGGCATTAGTGTGCTGCTGGCATCGAGCACGGTTATGTCGCGTGTGTGCAAAATCGTCCTGTTCGAAGCCGCGTCGTGTGTCAGTCCGTTCATAGGCTGTCGTCGCTGTCCGTGGCGATGTGTACCAAATTCACTCATGCCTGGTGGAGCGTCACCGGCTATGGAAACCTTGCATCGCCAAGGCCCTTGACTTGTTATCAAACTGTCGTCAATCTTCAAGTTTTTCTCATGCAATGCATCCGTACCTCTTCAATGAGACTTTGAATCATTTTTCTTCCCTCCCTACGCTCTCTCTCTCTCCCTCATCCTTTCTTTGCTACTTCCTCCCTGTTGCAAATTGGTTTCAGATGAACAGACAGTGACGCAGTGGCGGTTTGAGAACTCTCGGTAGTGTAAGGCTTACCACATCAGTTCATAATGTTACAATGGAGCAGCTTGTATTGCAGCCAAGTAAAGCACCATTCTTTTCCAATTTCTAAGCTGGACTGCATGCAAGCCGTGCTCAGCCCAGGTCCTTCTTTCCAGATCCGTCTTCCTAGTTTGCTTAGTTACCGGAGTTACGTAAGGGCTTGCGGATGAAGTGTTTACCAGAAACAACGTTATGAAACCTTTGATAGCTGGCTCTACTTGGGAAGATAACTTATCATTCAGGCAAACATGAGGTGGGGTGAGAATGTATAGTTCACCATTAGATTTTGTTTTTTTTTCTCAGCTAAAGATGAAAAGCAAGAGGAAATCATGAATGCAATTTTTGTTACCGTATAACACAATAGCAAGTGTACCGTACAACATTTCATTAAGAGTATTTTGACACAAGTACAACAACTGCAGCAATTTGGGCATCTTCCCCCCTTTCTCCCACTGGTTCCTACACCCTGCCCTTCCTAGGCTTGGTAGAGCTCGTTTTGCAGTCAGGTAGGTGTTTCCCACAGAGCTTGGGGTTGCCGGGGCGGAAGCAGGAGATGGGCAGGTCTGAGAGGGAGGAGGGAACGGAGCCAGAGAGGGCGTTGCCAGCGAATTGCACTTGCAGGGAGGGGGCAGCAGCAAGCAGGCGCGCAGGGATGGTGCCTGACAGCCCACTCCATGACACATCCAGCTCCTGAAGGGCCGTCAGGGACGCCAGCCCTGCAGGGATGCTGCCGCTCATGCGGTTGCGCGCCGTCTGCAAGGAGTGCAGCGCGGTGAAGCGCGATAGGGATGCGGGGAGCGAGCCGGAGAGCTGGTTGCTGGAGACGTTGAGGGAGAGGAGGGAGGAGGCGCAGGAGGAGGAGGGGGGGAGGAGGGAGGAGAGGGGGCCGGAGAAAGCGTTGGAGGAGAGGAGGAGAGAGGCGAGGCGCTGCTTGCCCTGGAAGAAGGCAGGCAGGGAGCCTTTGAGCTCGTTGCGTGAGAGGTCCAGGTGGGTGAGTGCTGGGGCGAGGGTGAGGGAGCGGGGCAGTGAACCCGAGAGCAGGTTGCTGCTGAGGTTGAGGTGGACAAGGGGGGAGGTCGAGGAGGCGAGGAGGGGGGGAATGGAACCGGAGAGGAGGTTGTAAGAGAGGTCCACGTGAGTGCAGTGAGAGCAGGCAGCCACAGGCAGGAGGGATCCAGAGAGCTGGTTGTGGGAGAGGTTGACGGTGGTCATTGCGGGATTCAGCGACGGCAGCGTGCCGGTGAGCAGGTTGTGAGAGAGGTCCAGCTCTCCACCCACTGCTCTCATCAGCCAGAATGGCACTTCATCCGACAGCTGGTTGTGTGACAGGCGCAGCACATCCATCAACGCATGCTCCCTCCAAGCTGTTAGGGTTGGTTCGACGAACCACGAAACCTACGGCGAGATGCGGAATGACGGCGGAATGGAGTGCGTGGGAGATTTTAGATCTAAGACGGTGGAAATCGACCTACGGTGGAGAATAGAAGCTACGGCGTGAGAAGCGGGAAGGAAATCGAGAAGGAATGTGCAGGAAGGAGGAATAGAGAAGGAGAAGCATCGAGAATGAGATCGACGGGGGAAATTGTGGTTCGAGCTTGAGGCGCGTTCGAGAAGGTTCGAGATTCGGACTCAAGAAGTGTTCGGTGCATTCGGTTCGGTTCCGTGTGCGACTCGGGGTGAAACGAGGCACACGCGGTTACTTGGGAAACAAGTGAAGTTACGAATCGCATTTTGTGTCTTGCCTGACCATAAAACTGCTTGTACTCATTCTGGAAATCACAACATTGGACAACATTGAGATTCTGAAATTGCTGAAGTGTGTATTGACAACTTCAAGCAGAGCTGCGCATATCATTGGATTCGTGAGATCGTGGAGAACACGATAAGCAATAGCAAGTAGACTATTGCCGACTAAGGTGTTTACGGTCCTAAGACAAGCCACGTTGACTCTGATCTCCAGCCAGCCGCTGATCTGGTTGTGGGAGAGGTCCACCACCGATGCAATCGTCTGGACGTTCTGTGCGGATTCGCACGTCAGGTTGTTGTGCGACGCGTTCAGGTAGCGCATGCGTGGGAAGTACGGCTCGGGGAGCCAGTACGCCTCGTAGCCCTCCCAGGCCCCGAAGAGCGGAGCCGCGTCTCCGGAGAGCTGGTTGTCGCTGACGTCCAGGGAGACCAGCAGAGGGAACACTTTGGTCAGGCTCGGGATGTGAGACGAGGAAACCACCCCCCCTGCAGTGGCATCAACGGCAGTAGCGAGGTCAAGGAGCCCGCCCCGGAGGGCGTTCCCCTGCAGCTGCAGGTCTGTGAGCATCCAGAGCGCGCCGAGCTCCCTTGGCAAGCTGCCGTCCAGCCGGTTGTGGTCCAGCGCCAGGCGTGTCAGCCCCGTGAGGGCGCTCACCTGCGCTGGAATGGACCCTGAGAGAGCGTTCCCCCCCACGTCTAGACTCTCCAAACCCGGCGACAGAATTGCTGCTGCTGCTGCAGTGGTGGTTGGGAGGGCCGCTCCCGTGAGGTTGTTACCGCGGAGGGAGAGCTCTCGCAGCGAGGGGAGAGTGAAGAGGGCGGGGGGGATGGAGCCGGAGAGGTGGCTGTTGGAGGAGAGGTCGAGAGCGACGAGGTGTGAGAGGCGCGAGAGGGACGGCGGCAGGCCGCCGGAGAGGGCGTGACTGGAGATGCGCAGCGACGTCAGCTGCGTCAGCTGCCCCAACGCCTCCGACAGACTCCCACTCGCACTCTCACTCTCACTCTCGCTCCCACTCCCCCCACGCAGGCCCTGCAGGAACAACCACGCGGTGCGGGGAGGTGGCGGGGGCTCGAAGGTGCATGAAAACTCCCCGTACTGGAGTTTCTCGCAGTCGGGCATGTCTGGGACCACGTTGGGATGCAGTGCGACCGTGGCATCGCCCAGCAGGTGCAGCGTGTGCACGTGCCCGTCTGCTGTGCACCCCACACCGTACCACTCACACGCGCTGCTGCTGCTGCTGCTCGCATCCCACCTGCTCAGTATCACCGCCTCTGCTGCCCCACCTGCTCCCCCCAGGAGCGCATCGCGCACGGCCAGCAGAGCAGCAGTCTCAGCAGCGGACGCCTGCACGCCAGGCGACGGCGCGGGGAGGTACCCCGCGCCCACGGCGCCCTTCATGGCAGCGCTGTTGCCGCTCACATGCACCTTGTTCCAGTAGGACCGCCACTCCCCAGCGGGCCTGCGCGTGTCAAACAGCGGCCCTGACAGCTCGTTGCACTGCACGTCCACCACCGCCCGCTCTCGTGCGAGCCCCCACCTGCTCTCCGCGCTCCCGCTCGCCCCGCGCTCCAGCCCCCCGGTGCTAGCCAGGCGGAACAACCCCTCGGGAATGCTGCCCGTGAAATTGTTGTGCGACACGTCCAGGCTGCCGTTGCGGATTACGGAGAAAGCTTTCAGGCTGCCCGTGAGGCTGTTGTGGCTGAGGTTCACGTGCAGGCTCTGCGTTTGCGAGCCCAAGGCAACGCGCCCCATCTGCTCGTCCATTCGTAGAAACAGGTCGTCCGGAACGCTCCCTCTCAGCCCCGCGTGCGGCGCGCTCAGCACCTCTAGCTGCGCCGGCACCACGCACCCATGCAGATCGCCCTCCCCCTGCCCCCCTTCCCCCTCTCCGCCGCTGCTGCCGCCGTCAAAGGCGTTGAAGCCCAGCCAGAGCTCGTGCGCCGGCAGCAGCGCGTCGCAGAACGGCCCGCTCAGCGCGTTGCCGTCGAGGCGCACCACGTCCAGACCGCGCAGCGACGCGAGCGCCGTGGGCGCGCACGACAGGCGGTTCTCCCCCAGGTCTAGGTACGTCAGCGCGCGCATCTTCTCCGCCAGCGCGGGCGGAATCGCGCCGGACAGACCGTTGGCGCGCAACGAGAGCGACTCGAGGCTGTCCTTGTACGCGGCCGCGTCGCGGGGGAGCTCGCCCGTGAGGTTGTTGTGCGACAGGTCGATGCGCGTGCTGGGGCCGCAGAGGTGTGGAATGGCGCCGGAGAGCAGGTTGTGCGAGAGGTCGAGCTCGCCACGCACGGCGGAAAGGAGGTCCGCGGAGATGCTCCCCGACAGCTCGTTGTGCGCCACGCGCAACTCCCACAGAGGCGGGTCAGGCACGCGCACGACTTCCGCCAACGCGCCGCTGATGCGGTTGTGCGAGAGGTCCGTGAAGGTCCCGCGCGCAAAGAGGTCGCTCCCGGCGCTGCACGTGAGGTGGTTGCGCGACGCGTTCAGGTGGATCAGGGCCGCACGGGAGCGGCGCGAGCGCGGCCGCGTCGCCAGAGAGATGGTTACTGCTGACGTCCAGGGAGTCGAGCAGCGGAAACGCCGCGCGGAGACCAGCAGACGCAGCAGCGTCAGGAGCGCCAGGAGCACCTGTCCCAAAAGTTGCAGCGGCAGCAGGGACGAGCGCAGCGATGTCTCCGGTCAATCGGTTCTGGTCGAGCGCGAGGTGTGTGAGCGGCGAGAGAGTGGCGATGGCCGTTGGGATGGACCCGGACAGGCCGTTGTCCCCCAGGTCGAGCTCCCTCAGCGCCGTCATCTCCTCTAGCGCGGGCGGAATGTCGCCGGTCAGCCCGTTGCTGCGCAGTGAGAGCTCGACGATGCTCCGCGAGTACGCCCCCGCTTCCCCCGGGAGCTCCCCCGTGAGGTTGTTGGCCTCGAGGCGCAACTCGTGCAGCCAACGCGACCGGAAAAGCGCGCGCGGAAGCTCCCCCGACAAGAGGTTACCGGAAAGGCGAACCGTTTCTAGCGACGGGGAGTACGCGTCGGGCCCGTCGGGCAGCGACCCTGAAAGGGCGCCGCCAATGGTGGTGCTGAGATCTACGAGGCAGAGACGGGGCAGGCGGAAGAGCCCGGGCGGGATGGGGCCGGAGAAGCTGTTATCGGGCATGTCGAATTCCGTCAGCTTCTGGAGGCGCGTAACGGAGTCCGGCAGGTCGCCGGAGAGGCACGAGTGGCGCAACACCAGCGAGGAGAGCTCCGCGAGGTCGCCAATGGCGGGCGACAGCGCGCCAGGCGGGCAGCTCCCTCCCTGAGTCCCAGCGGGACCGGGCATGTCCTCGGGGTCGGGTTCCGAGTAGATGCTGGTGATGCGGCCGGCGGGCGTGCACTTGATGGGGCACGAGAGGTAGCACGACGCGGGCCTGGGCGTGACGCAGCAGTAGGTGACGTTGTCCTGATCATCCAACATCTGGATCCGCCGGCTGCTGCCGTAGTGTGCGTTTGGCTAGAAAAACACATTCTCGGGCAAAGCCGCGTACATTGCGCGCATGGCTTCCCGGTCGACCCCCGCCACCTTCGCGACGCACCCCTTGGTGTCCGGCGGTTTGGTGTCGGCATCCGCGGCACGGAGGAGGGCGACGAGGAGGGATACTATGAGCGCGAGGAGGGCGATGGGGGTAAGGCGCGAGCGGAGGGGGAGGGAGGACGGTGGGGAGCGGGAGAGAGGCGCCATCATGGCGTGTGGCGGCTCGGCTGGGAGTAGTAGTATACTGTAATGCGAGATACTGATATCCTCGTTACTAACAATACAGAGACTTCGCTATTGGTGGCGCTACTGCAGGATGAGACGGCACGGGTATTACTGACTCTTCTATTAACATTGCCATTGGCAGCGGCGGCTTGTTGACGCATGGAAAGGTTAAGAGGTTGAGGCAGAGCGCGAGTACGAGTACGATGGCTACTTGGACTACTAGATGCGATTCTGAAGCGCGTGCCAGCGGCGCGCTGTTTAGTACGCGGTGATTGGTGGGCGAGATCAACGGTAGGTGCGACGTGCACCGCGTAGGTTTGACCTGCTAAGAATGGTTCGGCGGTGGAAGGAGAATGGCGGAAGGGGTGCGAGGAGAAGGCAGGGAGCAATTCAGGTAGGTGACTACCGTGCGCGTTAGTCGCGGCCGTTGCGACTGCTGCCGCGGGCGCGTGTTCACAGCCGCGAGGCACAGCAGACGTGAGCGCCATGGTTGGGTGAGCGGGTTGTGAGCCCAGTGCTGGTTGGTTTGTGCGGCATGGGAGGGGAAAGACCATGTAAGACTTGCAAACAGTGGGGAGTAGTTGAGGTAGGATTTGAATGACGGGGACAAACATGGAAGGACTTGGAGGGAAGTGGAGGAATGCTGATTGCATTGGCGCTTGAGGCGGGCCGCACGGGGGTGGAAGGGAATAGTGAGGAAGGAAGGAATGTAGAGTGGTGGGGAGTCGACCTGTTGGATTCGACCTCCTATAAGAAAATTTCCAGCATTCCTTATCGCGTTCTTCAACATCACGTATAGCAGCAGCCGTTGTTTGCCCGTTACGGTTAACGGGGGTTCGCCAACTTCGCGCGCACTGTTTTACCAAACCATGCACCGCTGGCCTGGCCGAGTCGGCCTAAGCTTCGGGACTAGCCCGAACCTCGATGCCAGCCTAGCACTAGCTAGCTCGCACGCATCGCGTAACCGTTGCATGTTTTCGCACATAAGTATTCGCTCATGCCTTCGCTCATACTTTGTACTCGTTTGACACCTAGTGCAATCCTCGCTATCTCGTTCCATTGCACCCGTAACACTTGGCATTCAGAGCCACTTTTCTTTCTGACCGCGCATCTCCGCACCCAGAGAAATCAACTTATGATTTTTGCACTCGAAGGGACTCACGCCCCTTAGCGCCTAGGAGACGCTGTCCTCGCATTCTCTCGTAAATGCGTGCAGCCACGACTTCTCCTAGAGCTAAGACGAGCCGCCGTCCTTCGACATGGCCGAATGTATCGACGTCACGAGCCTCACGCAGGGGCGTCTGAACGAACTGCTGCAGCAACTGCACGAAAGTTCTTAAGAAATTGCAGCGCTGACGGCAGAAGGTACGTCCCTGCAAAACGACGTCGCACGAGCGCAACAAGCACAATCACAGGTCAGAATCGTACTTAGTAGCTATGACTTAGGGTTTGAGAAGCTAAGGAGAAACATAGCGAGAGGATGGATAAGTTGGCCAAAGAGGGTTGGATAATTAGGAACAAGGGTACAAGTAGGAGCAAGTGTGGGCACAAAGCTGCACCACCACCCACAAGAAGCTACACTATACTACTGTTAAAGCTGTTGGCATTTTATAAGAAAACATAACAATATATTTTCTTCAACACACCCCCTAAACTGCCCACAGCAATAACTAGTGCAGCGGAAGGAGAGGGCAAGTGAAGAGGAGGAGGAAACTGGAGAGGAGAGGAGGTGGGCGGCCGCTGAAGCTGCTGGCACTGGTCGCAAACGGTGTAACTGGCTCTGCTCGCCGGCAAGAGCAACTGACCCTCTGGGGACCAGAGCAACGGGTAACCGGAGTAACTGGCTCGCTCGCCGGCAAGAGCAACTGACCCACGGGCCTCTGACGCAACGGTCTCACGGGCGACTAGAGCTGCGGACTTCACGGCGGCCACCCGCCCTCACCCCCCTCGGATTGTCCCACCCCCCCCCTTGTCACACCCCTCGGCCCTAGCGCCACTCCCCAACCTCACCCACTCCATCCCCCCCTCAGCGGCAGCTGCAGTAGTGGGAGAGAGAGGAGGAGGAGGGGCAGCTGGTCACGCACTCCCACCACCCCCATACCCCCCCTTACCCCCGCCACCCCCATACCCTCCACACGGCTGCACGCGCAGCAGGAAGTCGAAGGAGGAGGGGGGAGGGCGGGCGGCGTCGCGACGTGCAGGGCGCGGGCGGGCTGTGGGGCACTCGCAAGGCGCGGGCGGGTTGTGGGGCACTCGCAACGGGCAGGGCGCGGGCGGCAGGCGGGTCCAGGAGGGGGGGCGCGCGGGTCCCCGGGGGCGCCTCGACGGGCAACGGGTGGCGGCGCGCGGGTCCCCGGGGGCGCCGCGACGGATGACGGGGACGGCACGACAGTCCCCGCGGGCGCCGCGGCGTGCGACGGGGGACAGCGCGCGGGTCCCTGGGGGCGCCGCGACGGGCGACGGAGGGCGGCGTGCGGGTCCCCGGGGGCGCCGCGACAAACGACGGGGGCGGCGCGCTGGTCCCCGGGGGCGCCGCGACGGAGCGTGAAACCGCCACGCGCCCCGAGCGCATGGCGGGCAGAAAGCCGCCACACGCCCCGAACGCGTGGCGGGAAGAAAAAACGTCGTGCACCACGGGGCGCGCGACAGACATTACAGTAGCGGAAGCAGTTGGGCCCACAGACCTGGAGCGTAGATGCTCTGTTACCATGTCAGAATCGTACTTAGTAGCTAGGACTTAGGGTTTGAGAAGCTAAGGAGAAACATAGCGAGAGGATGGATAAGTTGGCCAAAGAGGGTTGGGTAATTAGGAACAAGGGTACAAGTAGGAGCAAGGGTGGGCACAAAGGTGCACCACCACCCACAAGAAGCTACACTACACTACTGTTAAAGCTGTTGGCAGTTTATAAGAAAACATAACAATATATTTTCTTCAACAACACAAGGCACGCACGGACAACCTGCACGTCAGGCATCACAACACGGAAGGGTGGGGCAACCCTCGAGCGCGGCTAGTGATGGCGTCGCCTGCAATGACGGAGACGACGACCACGGCACGACACACCCCGGAGCGACGAATGCGGCCAGAAGCCAACCACGCGTCACGATTTCGGTGCCGATCGGCGAATCAGCGCTGCCGTCACTGATGCCGCTGAAGCCGCAGTGTCCGCCTTGCTTTGACCCAAGTCAACGGGGTGATCCTACCGGTCAGGCGTGGTTATTCACGATGAACGTCTACTTTGACGCGAACTACGTCTCGGAGGATTCGGCGAAGATTCTATACGCCGTGTCGCTGCTGCGAGGACCTGCCATGGACTGGTGGTGCGTCATCATCACGAAGCCGGTGGACTACGTGACTCTACCGACACGGGAAGGACAAACCGAACCCTGGGCGCCGTCGTATTTTGTGGAGGTGCCCCAATATCGCACGTGGGACGCGTGGTGCGTAGGTCTGCAAGCACGATTTGAGCCAATCGCGGCTTCGATCACGGCGCGTCAGAAGCTCCGCACTTGGCGCCAGCTCAGTTCCGTCCAGGACTACACCAGCGGGTTTCTGGCCCTGTGCGAGCAGGTGGGCTACATGCACAAGGGCGAGCGCATCGACCGCTACATCGGTGGCCTAAAACACAAAATCGCCCAAGAAATCCAGCTCCGCAACATCACCGAATTTCAGGACATTCTCGCTATGGTGGAGAAGCTTGACTTCTTACGCCGACCGAGACCGGGGTCCTACGGCAACAACAGTAACTGGGGACATCGGTCTTGTGGGACGAACGAGCACGCCACGATATGCGCCGTCGCCGCGAATGCCACTGCCGCACCATTAAAGGGGCGCTGCTTCGCGTGCAACCGGCCGGGACACCGTAAGAGCAAATGCCCAGAAAACGCTAAGGGAAAGGGGGAAGCTGAGCAGGAGAAACAGACCAAGCAGCAGGGAAACGCTGGGAGTCAGAAGCAGACGGGCCCTCTACTGTCAGGTCACGCCGCTCGCCCGACCCAACCGACCCTCACCGAGTGATTGTGCCGGTTCACGCAATCGACCACACCCGGCCGAATAAGGAGGGTACATCGGTAGACAGCCCCATAATGCTTAGCGGGAAAATACAGACAGACTTAGGTCGTATCCCTGGCTAGTGTCAAGAGAGGCTAGTGGCATGACACTAACTAGGAAAACGTGTGGAGGACTAAACCTCCTGGTGTCAAGGTGTTGTATATCGGGAAGTTGAACGGACACGTCGCAACCCCCTCCGAGCGACTTCTGACACATCGCCTGTCACCCGAACACCTGCAATTTTGCAGATCGCACATACACATCTTTCGCGCGCCCGCTAGCCTGGTGCACAATCCAAACCGTCAAAATTCTCGGCGGGAGATGGAAAACACCACCGCGATCCCAACTGCTTCGACAACCAGATTTGTGCAACATGGTGCATATGGATGCACTGATCTACACAGATCTGCATACCACACAGTCCTCTACCACAACAACACGTTAGCTAGAACTCCCAGGAGCATGCCGCCACGTAAAAGTCGCAGCCAGAAAGGCAAGCAGAAGGTGGAAGAGGAGAAGCCATGGGTTGACCCTCCTTACGTTGCCTGGATGAAATCGGAACAAGCAAAAGGAGCTGCTCGGCCAAGCATCACGAATAAACGGACACGACCGGTCGAGCAAAGGGTGGGCGAAAACGTAGCAGACGCAAATCCCGCGTGAAGAAGGAAAACTACAACACAGAGTGGTCTGAGGCGGAGCTCGTCGAACTGGCAGCGGCACGATGGAACACCCGAAACGATATCAAAGCTCTCCGAGGGAAGCAGGGGTCGCAGTACTGGAAAAAATTGCGGAAACACATGAAGAAGGCGAACACGAGAGAGAGCGAGAGCGAGCCGATGAAACATGCATGGAAGCGCATAATGGCGGACTACCGCAAATACGCCCGCGCCGACATGGGATCAGGTAACAAAGCCACCAAGAAGCCAAGGTGGTG